GGGGGAGGCTGCTACTAGAAAGGGGAGTGGAAAGCAAGACGACCAGCACAGGGAATGGGGCAGTGTAAGCCACTGACCCTCATGAAGGGTCAGTGAGAAAGAGCCTGCCCATAGGAGCAGGGCGATGGGCTGGATGGGCTGGCTTGGAACAGGAAGGGTGCCCACAGCAAGCACAGGAGTGCACAGATGCCCATAGAGCAGTGTTTCCCTGACCCCCACCAGGACCTCAGGGTAGCAGAATCACTTCTCCCCTTGGCTCTGGCCTGTGGATTTTAGAGGGGTGAAATGTGCCTTGAGGTGGGACTTGCCTTGTCCACTCCAGCTTCTCACCCTAAAGGTGAACTGGTGGCCACTGGTCCAAGGAGGACCAGAGCCTCGAGAGAGGAGTAGGACCCCCTGGAGTTCTGAGCCCACCTAGGGAAACCAATCTCCAGGCCACCCACTGCTCTGTGGATGGGAAAGAATGTTTTCTTCTGACAGCTCCTGACTTTGGACTGTCTGTGACACAGCACTGTAGTGATAACAGCTGGCTGTGACGTGGGGAAGGAGTCAAGACCAGCCAATACACTTTTTGAGAATTTAAATGATTGTATATAAACAGTTTACCTGGATACAGCAATAAAGCAGAATAAACTACTCTCCACTGCATAGTCAGACTTGTTTACATCTAGGTAGCTATTTCTTTAATTACATAATAGATCAGCCTTATACATCTTTTAATTTATTTATTTTGAAGTAATTATAGATCCATATGGAGTTGTAATAAATAACAGAGAGAGCCCATGTCCTCTTCATCCTGTTTTCCCAATTGGTGACATCTTGCAAAGTTACAGAGCGAAACCACAACCAGAATGTTATCAGCCTTGAATTTAAAGGGGGAAAAACCCTGCTAAGAAGAAAATGAACCTGCAGATGTCCTCTCTGAACTTGAAGAAATGGGTGTGGGTCAGCCCTCAGTGCAGCCCACCAGGCTTCTGACGGCTTGTTCCTGCCTATAGCAGGTCAGCTGGTTGGGTAGCCTTCCCCCAGGAGGGCCCTTGGGTCTCCCCAGCACTGGACCAGCCTCCCCAAGGTGGGCCTTGGCCAGCAGCCACAGGCCAGGTGCTGGCTCTAGCCAGTGCTCAGGGGGTGCTGTGCAGCAGGGCTGGCACAGCAATCAGACCTGTCATCTTGGGCCTGGCTCCTCTGATCCATCATTCCCCCATCCCCCAGGGTCATCAAGGCTCCTTCTGTGGAAGCCACTGGTACCGAGCATAGCCTGCCTCATGGAGTGACCTGGGCAAATGCTCGCTGGGACCAAGGTCGAGACTGCTTTTGGGCAGAAAAGCAAAACCGGTGAGGGACACACCAGCAACAACGTGACGAGGAACTGTGCGAGTGAGGGGATGAAAAGCGCAGCCCAGAAATGTGTGCGACATGGTGTTAATACCAGAGAAAGCAGAATTCAAGGTAAAGAATGAAATGGATAAGGGAGTGCACCTTACATGGATGAGACATGCACATGCATGGGGATGTGGGAATTAAGTCTGGGGCATGAGAAGAGAGCACGGCCACATCTAGCCACAGGGGACCTGGACTCTGGGACAAATGCCATAGATCACATAGAAAATGCAAAATGAGGGTGTAAAAGACAAATACTGCTATTGGTGATTTTATTTTATTTTTCATATAAAATTCACTGTGCATAGAGAGAATAAACGTTTTTTCCAAAATCCCATGAAATTTTAAAGGATCCCAAACCAGCTACAAATCAAAGCTTAAAACAATTTCAAAAACTGAAAAATCACTTAGGCCTGAACTGAACTTTATAAAACAAAATATTAATGAAACAAAAGATGTAATAAAACCTAACTAGTTGAAATTTTTCAATTATTCTTCCAAATGAGTCTTGGGTCAAAGAGGAAATCAAAATTGACATGGTTTCACTTTACAGACTCAGGATAAGCATACATCACAAACATCTGCAGGACCTGGCCAGAGGGCCTCGGAGGAGAATTCCCTGCACAATGATTTTTGTATTATTTCTTAATCGATTTGTTGTTCCACTTATTTATGCATTCATTGGTTGATTCTTGCATGTGCCCTGACTGGAGATCCAACCCGAAACTTTAGCATATCAGGGATGACTCTCTACCCAACTGAGCTATCCGGCCAGAGCTCAAATGAACTCTTATAAGACTTTTTCTTAGGCTGGACATTCTTTCCTCAACAACCCACATAGCCTTCTCCTCACCCAGACCTTTGAGACTCACTGCTGCCCACCCACCTGTCAGAACATG